GCTTTATTTGACAGTGTTTCTGAGGACCAGAAGAGTGAAAATACATGTGCCATATCTTCTTCTTCCCTCCCCCCTCCATGAGCTAAATTTTATCTTTGTGAATGCGTTGTTCAGTTCTTCAATTTTTCCCCTCAGCAGTGTGTTCTGTAAGTGTATAAAACTCTCTGCATTCCTTTGTTTTGGTTTATAGTTTGTTTTGTCATGTTTCTATAGTGTTAAATGATTGTGAGTAGATTAGAAACATGCTTATCTAACTGGTGCAGTTTCACACTCAAATATTTAGTATTTTGATATTCTACTATATGTTTACTTTTAAGTCTTTTTCTCAGTAAGTTTGCAGATGACACCAAATTGAGCGGGACTGTTGATCTGCTCGAAAGTAGGAAGGCTCTGCAGAGGGATCTGGACAGGCTGGATCGATGGGACCAGGTCAATCATAGGAGGTTCAACAAGGCCAAGTGCCAGGTCCTGCACTTGGGTCACAACGACCCCATGCAGTGCTACAGGGAGGCTTGGGGAGGAGTGGCTGGTATTACAGCTGGGAAGCTGCCCAGTGGAAAAGGACCTGGGGGTGCTGGTCGGCAGCCAGATGAATGTGAGCCAGCAGTGAAGGCCAGCAGTATCCTGGCTTGTATCAGGAATAGTGTGGCCAGCAGGATCAGGGCAGTGGTTGTCCCCCTGTACTCAGCACTGGTGAGGCCACACCTCAAATACGGTGTTTGGTTTTGGGCCCCTCACTACAAGAAGGACATTGAGGTGCTGGAACGTGAGCAATGCAGCTGGTGAAGGGTCTAGAGAACAAGTCCTATGGGGAGCGGCTGAGGGAGCTTGGGTTGTTTAGTGTGGAGAAGAGGAGGCTGAGGGGAGACCTTCTCACTCTCTACAACTACCTGAAAGGAGGTTGTAGTGAGGTGGGTGTTCATCTCTTCTCCCAGCTAACTAGTGATAGGACGAGAGGAAATGGCCTCAAGTTGCATCAGGGGAGGTTTAGATTGGATATTAGGAAAAATTTCTTTACTGAAAGAGTGGTCAGGCTTTGGAACAGGCTGCCCAGGGAAGTGGTGGAGTCCCCATCCCTGGAGGTGTTCAAAAAACGTGTAGATGTGGCACTTCAGGACATGGTTTAGCAGGCATGGTGGTGTTGGGTGGATGGTTGGACTTGATCTTAGAGGTCTTTTCCAACCTTAATGATTTTATGAATCTGTGATTTCATAACTACTTAGTTTTACCCTTGGACTTCAGTAGTTTAAGCATTTCAATACAAATACAGAAATATAGCTATTTTCATCCAATATAAAGGCAGCAGCCTGACCTGTTTTCAGGTGTACTTGCATAGCAAATTTTCAGTTTGAATTATTTTTGCAAGATACTTTCTTCAGCGAGTTTGTAGCCTTCTTGTGAGGTCAGTTGGAAAGTTTGGGTTTTTTTTTTCCCCAGTTACAAATATGAACAGTCATCCATGTGTCCTGATGTAGGCCAGTGGAAGGCAAAGTCTACACTTACAAGTAAAAAATTCTGAAGACTTTTTCTTAGCCAGTATGTTTTTTAGAACATATGTTCAATACCTGTTTTATAAAGTGTGTAGCTGACAATCAAAAAATGATTTCTTAAAAAATGTCTTGTGTTCTGCCCATGGGTGTCAGGCACAGGCCTCGTCAAAGGTCAGAAAACATTCTCAAAACAGTGTAGCTTCTTAGCAATTTAAATAAGAATTTGCATTCTTTCAACTTAAATATTAATACTAGTAATATCATGAACCCTCTTGCATCTCACGGGACAGCAAGATTACTGGGTCAGAAGGATGTGTTTTCTTCCTTACAGGCATTATACCTTTATGGAAACTTCAGCTGAAGTGAGTCTTGCATATTTATTGGCATTTCTTAAGGAAAGCTTTTTTTCTTCCCCGAGTCTATCTACTTATTATGAAGGTTTTGGCACCCACAACTATTTAGGCAGTATAAAATGTTTAAGAATGTGATTATGAATGTATTTTGTTAAAATAGAAGTTTTCATACTTCTAGTGGAAAAAATATTTTTATTATCTCAGATTTTGTGTGACTTTTAAGGAAAGGTGTTCTTAGTCTCAGTATTTTTTCCACTACTGCTTAATATAAGGAGACCATAGGATATACATCTTAATTTCATTTTCACCTTCAATATATGAAGACATTTGGGGTCTTTGTTTCCGTCCATGCAGCTCACACCACATTTTTCCACAAGAAGAGTTAAGAAAGCAATCAAAACTTTTATTCATGCTATAAAGAAGTATTAGTTTTAATTTGCTTTTTCTGCACATAGCACAGTCTAGTAGAGGATTTTGTTGGTTAGCAAGCCCTGGGCTTTGATTTTGTGGTTAAATATTTGCATTGCAAGTTAAGGTGTATTGTAGCAATCTACAAACGCAACTACAGTTCCCGATCTATTTAAATATATCTGTTGAATAATGTAGCCTGTTTCCCAATTGCAAATAGCATGCTTATCTATGTTATGTTTAATTTATGTATAATTTATCCTATTAGATAAGATTTGTGTTGCTGCTGTAAAATTGCATTAGAAAAAGCCACATGGGTTTAAGAAATTGGTATCTTGCCCATTCTGTATGTTGAGACAATACAAACTGCTGAGCTCCTGTGAAAATAGTTTCACCAAGAAACCACTGTGGAAATTCTTTCCAAGTATGAATGCTGATGCAGAGCTGTGTGCAGCAGCTAGCATGTTCCTGTTTTCTAGAGGCTTGCGTGGCTTTTCTGTGTAAACGAGCGTTGTCCAAGATTATGAGCAGTATAAGTAACTCCATGGTCTTCAAGGGAACGATCAGAGGTTCTTGAGCTGCCTTGCAGGGCAGCTGAAGTCTTGGACCCGAGATGAGTTTGCAAGGTCACCTGTGGTAGGATTGGATGACGGCCAACTAAGTGAATGTGGAGTTACACTGTCCTTTATTGCCTAGGGTGATATTCCAACTGTTGTTGTTACTCATAGCTACTGCTTCAGTCGTACATGAGTTACATCTAATCTAACACTCACCACAAAACAGCATGTGCGTACAAACAAAAACCATGCCAGCTCGTTCACACACTTAACTGACCCATTACTACGAATGTAACTACTACTGCCAGCACCTCCACATAGCAACACCAGGGAAGCTGTCATCCCATGCACCACCCAAGGGGTGATGGAGAGGTAGCTGCACTGATGGTTGGTGTCAGCTGTCACTCAGCTGTGGGTAATCTGACTGGTGTGGAGCAGGGTAGCTTCTCTCTGCAAAGGCTGAAGGCAGTCATGCCACCTTGCTGCTCAGCAGCACCAGCGCCTTCAAAGGAACTTGCCCAATACCAACCTGCCGCAACTTGTGCATTGCATAGCTTGCTTAATCAGATGTTTTTGGCAGACCATGTTTTTAGGCTGGTAGTTTCAACTATGGACCTTACAGCTCAACCGTTAGTTTTGTTTCTCCACAGTGATCTTACAGCCACGGTTCAGGCGTATGCATCGGGCAGTTTAAGTGCCGCAGGAAGGCTGTGCAAACTCCGCCACAGATCTTAAACTTGCATCCGAGATAAGTGTCTTGTCCAAATGCCAAATGAGAAGCATTGGTGCGTATTTTGTATTACAACAGCTGGTGCGTTTTCAGCCTGTAGTGTAAGGTGGAGTCTGTATGCTACCCGGTGGCCTCTATATGGGAAATATGGAATGATCAGTATCTTCACCGAAAAGTGTTTGGTGATCCCTGAATCAGAAGGAATTGAAAATTATTGCTGCTGACCTCACCTGTGTGTCATTTATGGTGATAGTTTGCGAGCTGTGACAATGTCTCGCTGCTGAAGTCTGCCACAATTTTTGAAGCTAATCTTAATGAAAGCAGGCATCCAGTATGGTGAATGGTTTTGAGAGGCCAATTTTTGATATACGTTTGCAACAAATGTTAGAAAACTTGATGTTTGACATTGAATTAGTCTTTGCCTCTCTAGCCATAGGCAGATTTTCTTTGCAGCTGCAAGGACTAAACTAAGGCTGTGGGAACATCAATAGCGTGTATGTCGTGTGCTACCGCATCTCAGTGTGAGGACTGATTCTTCAGGTATCACCGAGAATCTCCGGTCTCTATCTGGCTACTTGACCTGTGCGTTCCTGTCGGTTATCTACCAGAACCCTTCCTACTCCTTTCCTGCTGTCTCTGTTAGCTGAATCATGGGAACCATGAATGGAATCAAAGAATCATGGAAAATGAGGCTGGGAGGTGTCTCGGCAGGGCATCTGGTCCAAGCCCTGGCCTTGCTTAGACAAGTGCTGACTTCCTGACCAGGGTGCTCAGGATGGAAACACTCACATCCCAGATCAGAATCTGTATTGTCCTGCTCAAAAACTTGCACGCTTACCTCTCTCCAAGGAAAAATAAGTTGTAACTCACTGATATCTCTCTCACCTGGGACACAGCAGCAGCTCTACCCCCTTTTTCCCCGACACTTTTTGAGATAAAAGAACTGAGCCTGTTGTAGCGAATGTGAGAGTGCTCTTCCAAAAACTGCGTGCTGCTGTGATAGTTGTGTTAGGAGTAATACACATGTTGCTTTGTAGCTGAGTGATCTGGCTGACACGGTGTCTCCGTTTTTATAGTCTGATATGCCAGTCACGTGTTGGGACTGAAGCAGGGTCAAGAAAAAACACAGAAGGAGGTAAAAGACTGTAGCTGGTAGAGTTAGATATATTGAAACTGTTTTCTAAAACAGCAGTAAAAATGGAGGCAATTGGAAGCTTTACCGAATGAGAAGCTTTTTAGCCAGACAAGCCCTGTAAGCCACAGAAGGAATTGCTTGCCTCTGGGTGAAACCGCTGTGCCTACACGCTTCGGGCCTGTGTGGGATTGTTAGGTGGCTAAAAGGGGGGGGTTTGTTTCTTTCTACAGAGTGAATTTATGAATAGAAGTTACTCTTAAAGGTACAAAATTTAGCTGTAACGTTTCTTCCAACGTAGTAGAGGATCATATGAAGCGATAGCCAATTTTGCTTCAACTGTGAAAGTATGTTATATCTGTAAGTAGTGTTTATTTGTATATTTGTAGTACTACTGTCATCTGAAACGCGTTGACTGAATTACAATTATTTTACTGTTCTTCTCCAACTTTTGAGCTGCAACATTTAAAATCATAGATGTTTTACTACTTTATTGCTGAAATTTTACGTACTTACTGGTTTGCTTTCTCTTTTTAGGTGTCTTGGCTTTTTAATCCAACAAGAAGTGAAATAACAAGTCTAGATAGTGGAAATATAGATGACATTTTAAGTGAGTACTTCGATTTTTTTTTTTCTCTTTGTATGTCTGTCGTTATTTATCTATGTGAATCTTGCAGTGGTATTAAATGAATATACATGCCTTAACTTTGAAAATATGAATTGCAATTGGCATTGAAGTATTAAATGCCTGTGATCAAAATTAGCTGTCTAAATTAATGTATCGCTCAACAAATTACTTCATTGTAGTCTCACTGAGGATTTGAAGTGTCTAAGAAAAATACTTGCTGTCTTGTTTGCAGATGGAATGCTTGATTACATAACAAAAATGTGTCAAGAGAGCATTTTAAAAGTTTCCCCCAAAACAGCAGCAAATGAAACCCATGGTGATGGGCCTTAAGTATCTTGTTTGATCAGCTATACTTTTCCTCAGGTTAATTGTCCTGATTCTGGTGGCTCATAGAAAGAACAGAAATTAAACAGATGTATATTCCTTGTCTGAACAGTATCAAATTTGCCTGTATGTCGTTGTCTTAACAGGAAATAAGTTATTGTTTCAAATATATTCAGAAAAAAATCTTTATGTTCTTTTATTTAGGTCAGTACTAGAATCTTCCTACTATTGCAGGATTGCTTTATGTAGTAAATGTATGATTAGATAATATAAATCTGTTTATAAATACCTTTTATACAGTGGAAAATATAGAATCCTGTTGTAAAATGTTATTCATAAAAAGGAATATATGCCAAATGTAAGTACTTTTAAAATTTATCCTATTACTTTCAACAAGTACATTATGCCTTGGAGGTAACCCTGAATTTCTCTGTGTTGGTTAATTTCCTGTTCACCACTTGCATTCCTTGCTGATAACGAAAATCTTAACACCATAATTTCAATCAAAACTGTAGTTTTTCCCAGACTTCTCAAGAGTCGACTTTTCCAGCTTGTTGTCTCTTCCAGGCTTCCAAAATCTGAATCTTATCTTTTAACTGTTTTGTGACTTTGTCAATAGTACAGATTTGTCTAGCAACATTTCTGCTTATAAAGCTGTGACTGATAGTTCCAGTATTTATTTCAAGGTGGTTTTTTTTTAATGTCTAGGCTACTACTACTACTGAAAATCAGTTTACAGCATGGTTGTTACATTGTGTAGAGATCACAATTTATCTTTGGGCGGGAGATTTGTCCTTCTAGTTTTCATATATTTTCCTTTTTTGGTATGTGAAAAATAACGCATAGGAGCATTATTTCACTCATCATATATATCCCTATAGTACTGCATTTTGTTTTTTTAATGTCCCTTAGAATTTTTCTTTTTGGGGGTTGAAGATTTCTCTGCTACCTTTTGCCTTAGTATCCAGTTTCTTGGCAAATAAGGTGGGTAAGGACTGACCAGAGCAAGTTGCACAGGCAGGCTGCATGTTGGTCATTCTTCTAACCTAAATAGTTCACATTTTTTAACTTTTTTTTAACACTTATGAAAGATCTAGATAATGCTTAAGAGATATACTAGAGTACAACTTATGGCTTTGATTCGTGATTTTAATTTTAAATCCAGAATGACTTTGTCTCATGTGTCACTTATTTACTTCTTTTGTGTCTTAATACCTTAAGTGTTGACATTTTTAATGTCGAATATATCAATAAGATCAATAAAATACTCGACTGAAGACCTCTTTCATCACTTTCCCATTTGATATAGATTATATTTCAGATAAGATTTATCCTTGCCGTTTTCTAGCAATCGGACTAAGTTGTATGCTGAATAATCTTGAAATATTTGCTTGTATAGATTTTGTGCGTATTTTTATAACCTCAGATAAAAGCACTAAGAATTTTGCCTCACAGTGTGACATTGGGTTTTTTCTTTTTCTTTCAGACAATGCAGATGTTGCTTTAGTTAATTTTTATGCTGATTGGTAAGTAATACAAGTGGTTTTTTTCTATGTTTAAACTTCTGTCTTTTGAAAACTGTTATGTTTGTTCTAATTGAAAATACAGTGCTGTTGCTTTCAAACTAGTTCTTTCCTGTTTTTTTTGTTTTTTTTTTAATGTCCTGATTACTACCCCTTCTGTTGTTCTAACATCTTTTGTTTCACTCAGGGCTCCTATCAGAGAAAAAAGACTTTATAGTAGTATGGAATAACATGCTATGTAATTGATTTTTTTTTTCCCTCCCCCCTGCTCTTGGCAAGACAGTTTTCATTAACTCTTTGCTCCTTAACATAGAATAGTCCAAAATATGCAATTTTTCCATTTTCTTGTATGTTGGTCCCCTGCATGTGTGCTAGAAAGGAAAAAGCCTGAAACTACACCAAAAATCAAACCCTTCTCTAACGTGGAACACCTTTCAAATCCTTCTGTAATCTGGAAGACCATCCAAGTGGAGAACTAGGGAAATTATAATTGAGGGATGAAATCTGAGCAGCTGGAAAAGGAAAGAATTTGGGGCCAGATTGGTTAGACATTGTGAAAGACGTAGAGGGAACTGTTTACCTGATTTTTTTTTTTCAAGAAAACTTGCATACCAAATCATCATCAGAATTAATTTAAACACCATACCCCCTTTTTTTTTATTGTGTAAGAAGTAAGTTTAAATGTTCTGTTCTGGTCCACCATTAATATTTTTAAAAGATTCTTTAGCTAGAAACCAGAAGAGTATTCAGAGAAAATAAAATTTAACATGCGTATGAATATAGAAAATGAAGTCAGAAAAATAAATAATTTTCTGACTTCCTTGATTAAAGTAATCTTGGATGTAAATAGCTTTATAATGTAAAGCGATATATAAACCGAAGTACTGCACTTTTAGATATTCCTCTCCCTGCTGTTTTGCTTTGTGAGCATAAAATGTTGGCCTCATTCCGTTCACCTCTTTCACATCCTACTATATGTCTACGTCGGTAGATCTGTATGGCCTAGAAGTAGCAAGTGCACAGAGCTTTACATGAAAACAATTACACTTTGCCTTTACTGATAATTCGTTCAACTGGTAGCAGGCTAATTTTAACTGTTTTTTTTAAAACTGATTTTGAAAAATTCATACCCAGTCTTTTCATATAGAATGAAGTTGTCAAAGATATTTTTAGTGCCTTCATTTAAACTTTGCATAAAGATAGACATTATACCGACCTAAATCAGTTTAATAACCTTTGTATATACCTCTGTCATTTTATAGACAATTTTTATGTTCAATTAGTTTGCATCTGTTCATTTGCTACCATAGACTAAATTGATAGTAAGCACATGTAAACCAATAGAATTTTTCTGTAGAGATTGCATTCGTTTACCAAGCTATTTGTTTGAAATATCTTTCTTTATAATGATAGTACAACGAAATAACTAGTTAAGTAAGAAACTAGGTCTAATACCTGTTCTGTATTTACGCTATAAAGGCTGCCTTTTAAAATAAATTAGTGAAACTTTTAAGATGGTTATTTTCAGTTTGTGATCTGCAGATACCTTTTGAAGTAGTCCGTGATCCACCAGATATTGTTAAAGATAACCAAGGAAAAAAAACCTGCAGACTAAATTGTGGGGTCAGTGTTGCCACTGAAAAATCATTTTTAGATTTTGCAAAAGACAAACTGCAGGATGCTAAAAATCCATGTTCTGATACCTCTGTTATAGAGGGAGGATACCAGTATTTTAAAACTTGATACAGCAAGGTAACCAGCATCCTGTTTTAGGACTTTATTAGCACAGCTCTTCATGCAAATCCCCACTGTTATCAGATCCTCTCTAGAATATGTTTGCTTTGGATGTAAAGATTTGCATATACTTACAAGTTGGTTCACATTATAGTAGGCCATAATTTTAAAATGTTACAGCCTTAATTATGCTGATTACATGTAGGCATTCAGTAATAACCCCTCAACATAGCATATGGCCAGTCTATGATGTAACGTGACCTTTGAATGAGAATATATCACTTTCACTGATGTAGATAGTCTGCTGTAGGGGTGGAGAACAATGAGGGACAAGGAACGCGTAATCTGTTCATACATGCTACATAAATGTGTAGCATACAATTGTGCTGCCCAGAGTCAGGTTTCTTTCAGAAAATGGCCTTAAGCCCAGTTTGTATTTTGAGAGCAAAACCTGCCTTTTCACTTGAATGTTTGCTGTTGTAGACGTAACAGCATGCCCAGGCTATCACTGTTAAATTTAAGCAGGGCTGCTACCCAGGCTGTTTTATTGCAAGTCTGTTCCATGAGGTCTCATTCTGACAACTTCTACAGTGCCGTTATATGTCTTCAATTTAAAATTGTGCTATGTGTTTAGAAGAACAGAATATAAAATAATTTTATTGACGTATTAATAATGGGCTGGGGCACTCATGTCACCTTAAACGCCCAAAAGCCACCAAAGCATCTTTACAATCCTACAGCCTTTTCCGTGGGCAGAGAGACGATTTTCCTCAAAATCTGACATGACTGGAAGAAGGGACCCGTGGGATTCTCTTTGTTCGTAGTGCTGTAATAGCAGTCTGTTCAAATTCTATCAAACGTCAGCAATAATACAATAAGCAATACTTACAACTTCTATTGTTGATCCTTATAAAGTTATCTCTGTGTTATTTCTTCAAGGTGATTGTTGGTGAATATTTGAATCTCAATAATGCAAGTAATTTCTTCTACTATATTTCGATAATTACTTACCCAGGGATAATTCTGGTAGAAAAAATGAAGAACAGACTTTCTGAATAGAACATATTTCCGAAAGGATTATAATTGATTAATGGTGTTTCTTAAGCAGATAAAGCAGGGGCACACTTCTTGAACTGTGTATTCTTTTAGAATGATTTTTTTTTTTTTTTCCCCTCTCCCACCTGAATTATTCAAGTTACTTTTGAACCTATTTTTATCCAGTTAGTTACTGGGATGGTTACGAGTGGATATTCTTTTCCAATGGATTTTCTTTTTTTTTCTTTTTCCTTCAAAGATTGAAATATACCCTGAGTCATCAATTAAAATATTTCAAATTATTTTTTTGAAGTTACAATTTTGTGTTCTGTCCACAGGTGCCGCTTCAGCCAAATGCTGCATCCTATTTTTGAGGAGGCTTCTAATGTAATTAAGGAAGAATATCCAGACAAGAATCAAGTGGTGTTTGCTAGAGTAGACTGTGATCAGCATTGTAAGTAAATCCCTGTTTAGGTTTTTCTGTGCTATCCTGCCAGTGTTACTCATTGTATTGAATAATATACTAGACAGCAGTCTAAGCGTGGTTGGACCTGCCCCATCATTTAGCCCAGAATTGCTTCTGTACATCAGTGTACCTGTTCTTCCAAATTTGTTCAGGCGATCTCCAGTGTTGCTTTCTCATTGCATCCATAAACATGCATTTATATACATTCAGCCTATCTCATTTAATGGGGAAAAAGAGCTGGATTATAAATAGAATTGGCTCATTGAGGGGTCAGAGAAGCACTAGTGCTACGAGTGGTGCAGGTCTTCACAGCTAAAAAAAGAGATGGGTAACCCTCCATTGTCAACGTCAACATGATGTTCTGCTCAGGTCTTCCCTCTGACTAGGACTCATGGTGGACTGGAAGTTGACTTTCGCACAGTCAGGAGGGGATCAGAGCTTTTCAGCTTTGCTGTTTGTACACGTGCCAACAAATGGTTGCCTGTTTGAGTTCTTGGCCCCCCGCCCCTGAAATACATGAAAACAATATGCCAAAATTTACTCATTTTATGCTGATACTGATCCCAAAAGTTGCTTTTTAATCCTGTAGAAAGTCAAACGTAATGAACATCTGCTATGCATTGAAAGACAATTGGATAGCACTGAGATTTTTGTTAATGGTGCTTTTTATAGTGTAATATCAGCTTTTCTGTTTTATGTTTCTGGAAGAACAGCACTTGCAGACATGGTTTCTTTACAGTGGCTTCTGATTCCTAAAGAGTAGTACCAGTTGCAAGTGGCTTCCAATCGCAACAGAAATTCAGTTCTAACCAATACTGATTATAGTGTTTGGGCTTTGGAAGAAGAATCACAGTTAGAAATTTGATGAATCACTGTACAGAGTTATTAGTTTGTGTCTGTAGCATATGCCTAGGATTTACCATTGGCCTAACAGTTTTGTTTTAGTGCTCTGTAAAAACAAACAAACAAACAAAAAACAACTAAAGAGAACCTTATAGGACAGAAAAAAGTCAATTGCATATCTGTGAAAAGTAACTGATTTCATTCAGCTTTTTCTTTCTCCTTTTGACAATCTGACTTTTTTTTGGTCTTAAAGGAGATGTTTCCCTGTAGTGGTATTTCTTGGGTTAAAGTGTCTTGGTTCTTGCTTGCATATTTATAAGTCAGTCAGTCCACTTGAGCATCTCCCACTGGCACCATTTTGTGCTCTATTTTGTATGCTTACATGTAGTTAGTTGTCCAACAAGAAGAGCACCTGTCTTGTGATCTTAAAAGAGATCTCAAGCATAAAAAAAACCCAAACCAAAACACTGAAGGGAGCAAGCAGTATTAACTCAGTTTCTGAAATACAAGAAAAGCTAATTCATCAGACTGTCAGGAGTGCCCAAGGAGATTCTGTTTTATCCCTTCCCAAAGATCAGTAAGATCGATTCATGACCACAGGAAACTTAAATGTCTCTGGGATTAAATCTTTGAGTCACTGGGATATCAGACCCCAGCTGGGAAACAGACATGACAGTATTCGCCCAGGGTATGTGAGCAGCTTTGAAGCTTTCAGCTGCCTTCCTGTGTTGGAGTGGCAGGGACGTGTTGTGGAACTGATACAAAAGTTTGAACGTACGTGCTCTTGAGGAGCAGTCACATTAGACGCACAGTTGTAGCATCTTCTCCTCCGAGCAGATCTCTTCTAGTGCCTCGAATACGATGTAGAACAGTGCACTTGTGTAACTGCCTGTAGCATTTCCAGAGCAGCAGCAGAATGGAGAGGCATGGCTATACTTAATGTACTTCACAATATACGCTTTTTGTCTCCTGACTTATAAGTCCAATAGTATTTTTTCTTTCTCGTTATAATGTTGTCTCTGTTAAGTGAATGTCTTCCTACCACCTTCCTGAACAACCTTTTGGTGGGGGTTGTTTTTGGACCTGGAATACCTACCAAGATCTCAAATACTTGGTGTTCTCTTGTGCTTCCCATCATCTTTCTATGTGGTGTGTGCTTGAGAGATCTTAACCAAAAGCATAGCATTAAGTATTCAAATTTGCCATCCCTAAAGTCTGTTTTCAAGTAGGGCAATGAAATCCTTTGGAGGAGTATAATGAAGGCAAAGCCTGATACGTGGTCTTTGCTGAAGTTTTCTTCCTGAGTTTTTTGTCTGTCTTTGTTCTGAGATGTACTGCAGGATCTACACAAATTAACTACCTCTGATCTTTTAACACTGCAATTGTAGAAAATAAAAGCAGTTACAGCAAACGTTCTGATTAGTTTTGTATCGGCTTATTAAACCAGCCACTCTACATACTTGAAATTACTTTTGCATATACTTTTGTATATATTCTATCACTTTCATCAGTGATAGTTTCTCAAATTCACTTGAATCACAACTGAAGTCTGTATTTTCTTTGCTGCAGCTTTAGTTGCTTGGGTAACATGGAGAGTCTTTGGGCTGCTGGATGCCCAGTGTTTAACCACGAGATGTTCTTGGTTTAGCAGTTATGTGGCTAAGAAAACTCTTCCCCCCCCTCCTCTGATGCCTTCCAAGTATTTGAAACAATTCAGAAGCTTGTTGCTTAATCTTCTCCTTGTGCTCATTAAATTGAGTTCATCAGAGCTTGTTGTGGAGGGCTAAGGCCTGGATGGAGGAGGAGATGCTGCAGCAGAGATTGTCTGTCTTCCCCTGGGAATAGGTGTACTGGGCTAAACGGTATGAGGCAGCCAAGAGATTTGATCTTTCTTTTTATTACTGGAATACCATGAGTTCTCTGTGTTTACTCTGTGTGCTTAATTTAAGTAGGTGAGCATGACTTCTGCTGCAGAAGATGTAAAATGTAAGAATTAAAAATAAAATCCTTTAATGACAGACCAAGTCTTTTTCCTCGGTTTGCACTGCCTTTTTGAACTAAAATAGCAAAGTTGTGTATGTCATTCCTGGTTTCTAGTGTTTATTTGCTGGATTGTAATCAATGGTACATTTCATGGAGCACAGTTACTGGGTGTGTCCTGACGTTTTAAGTATTTTAACTTTGATTTTGATGTGTGTAATAGCAGCTTTTTAGTAAGAAGGTGAATGTTACTATATTATCCAGCTTGGGCCTGCTGTTTACCAAATGTTGGAGACGAAATTGTTATTGTCTTCTTTTTGCTCTTTCACATTTATATTTTTGTATATGTTTACATATTTTACCAACACTAGAAAGTCTATGCCAATATTTTGGGGTTTCTTTATGCCTGCAGATTTCGTACCTCTAGTAGTGCACTATTAGGATGATGTTCCAGAGATGGTGGATTATTTGCATTACAAATGATCTGTTTCTTTTTGAAGCCAAGACTCTGTAGGGAACCCAAATCGCTGATTTCAGGCCACTCAAACAGCTTTCAGAATGGTCAGCCAGGCATAGATACTTTCCATTTAATGCACTATTATTGAAGCACACTGCAGGGCCCAACAGCTCACACCAGCTTCTGAGGATAAAGCAAATTAAAGGGAATTATTGATGCACTGCCAAATGTTTGATGCTTGATGACAAAACCATCATTCTGTCTGCCTTTATAGCCAATAAAAAGATGTTTTTCTGGAAAGTGATAGGCCCCAATGTGATTAAGTACAAAATTTAAATATTAACACTTTAGTAAGCCTCTGTGTGTATTCTATTTTACACCGGTTTATAATTTTGTGGAAGATAACTTACACATTTCAGTTATAATTAAGTCAGACTGTTATTAAGCTGATGTGGAACATACACTAAAGGTAAATCTGGTGAAGCAAGTACTCTTTCAGTTTCCAAGACCTCATCCTTTTATAACATAGAAATATCTAAGTTCCACTACATTGTTTGCTGTTAAAATCTTTGGTGGTTTTGGTGTGTTTGATTTAGTAATTCACTTTTCTTATAAATTATGAACCTCTACTCTAAGGATAATACCTAGTAAAAGTGACCTTCTGTATAAAATTATAGAAGATCTTTCTGCATATACATTATTAGGAAGGTTTTGTTTTAGCGGGGTGAGTTTTTTTCACTTGCTTGCTTGTGAGGTTTTTTGTGGGCTTTTATCCTTTGTGTTAAGCAGCAAGATTGGAAACTCACTTGGTACACGGGTTTGCTATGTTTCTGTTCTCTGTGAGTGAATATTGCAATATAGAAGAACTCATGTTTCTTGAGGAGAATTTATATTTTGAACAGCTTCAATGAATTCAGTATTGCAAGTTGTGGTACAGAATTATTATAAATTAAAGTATATATTGGGGGTTTAATTCTACTGCACTGTTATTTCCTTTGGTTTCAGAGTTAAAAAATAAATAATAGCTGGTTTGAATAAATCTTTGTGCTTGCAAACAGAAAACAACTTCTCTCTGGTGGGGTGTTGAGAGGTGCTTTGCTAGACAGATTGGGGAATTCTTGTTCTTTCTTTCAAAACGTCCAGGAGTGGTACTCTCATTCAGTATGGTGAGCTGCTGAGCTCTCTGGGTCTGGCCATTCCTGTATTGTGTGCTAATGTTAGTCTTTAGAGAGTTGCTTAGATTGTGTTGCTACTGTGCCTTTGGTAAGTGAAATAATTCAGTACAATAACAAATTTGGAGGTTTATAAATTAAACTCTAAGCAAGCATGAAGATTTCATTGCATTCCTGTCTCTTTGTCGGGGGGGAAAAAAAAAAGCAGTCTTGAAAGAGTTATCTTTGGATAAAATAAAAAGTGGAAGTGATTCGGAGAGGTGGTTGATGGCTCTCCTCAGGAGAGCCATTTTGTTAGCCCGTCAGAAAAGGTTATGGGATACCTACTGATGAGGCCCCGCTAAGAGCAGGCACGGCTGGTGTGAATGCTCCTTTGCAGCAGAAGGTGGTCTAGATTTGCTGTTTCCCAGCATCTTAGTAGCAGAGTTTGATGTGGAACATTGATATTCTTGCACCTGTTTTGGTCCAACAGACAAGTCACCAGTATCGCAATTGTTGGGGTAGGATGCCTAGTTCAGATGGTTTCCCAAGGTCCT